TAGCCCCACATCTGTGTGCACGCAGGTAGCACTAATTGGACACAGTTCTAAAAATGAATAGTAAAAAGGAATAAACTATGACAGTTTCAATTTAGTGGACGAAGTCTATAAGTAACATTAGAGTGTGGAATCATTTTTCCTCACTTTGGAAGACCTGCCTGCTAACCCTGAAGGATCAATGAATGCTTATATCAGTTGGTCATTTCATAATTCTCATCAGCTTTGGACTAAAAAGGAAATTAAGTAGTTATACCTTCCCTGTATACATGTATACAACAAACTAAAAATTCAAAACAAATTGAATCTCATTAACATATTTAAAGCTCTTGTAATATGTAAAATAAGATAATGAGAATACACAACCATCATATCTCAAATTTATGCTATTGGAACAACAATGTTCTTTAGGAAAACATGACACTTTTATGTGTATTGATAAGCCTAGGTTTATAATCACAGGCAATTCTTTCACCCTAGAGATCATAATGAGCCATTCACAGAAGTAATATCAATGCCGAAATGAGCTATCGATAATATCCATTGAATAGTCTTGAACAGGTGACAAGGTAAAGGATACTCATCACTAAAGAGAAGCTTGTCACAGCATCTTTATTTCATGTTTTTAACAGTATCCAAATGCTTACTATGTAGTCAATTCCCTCACAGAGTTCATATTCCAAAGAGAGATTTATAAAATCAATTTTATAAAAAAAAGTGATTCAGTGTAATTGAAAATCGGCTGGCAAGCTTAGATCATCAATAAGTTGTTGAATTCAACATTCTAATTATGCCATAGTATAATGAATGAAAACTACATCATCCTAATAAATACTTATTGTTTTATCCAGTAAAATAAAAAATAAAATGCATCTGATTTTCAGACTGTTAATCAAAAATATCACTCATAACATCTATTAGCATGTGTGATCCCCTTTCCTCCCCTTCCTCTCTCCCTCTCCTCCCTCCATCCTAAAGCTGCGGAACAATAAAGGTCATCATAGCTCAAGAAGCTCTTCTAGGAGAAAATAATCAGCAGCAGCGCCAGCCACGCTCTGATTTTCTGAATTCACAGATTGCTTCCACATTTGCATTTATTGTAAAATTATCCTGATGTCACAGAGTCAGACAGACAGAAATGTTCAGCTCCTTTCACAAGGGGCAGGGCTCCAGAACAGTTGGCATAGGTTACTTGTGTGGAGCTTTGTGTCTGTCTACAACTGTGAAGGCCTGTCTTCCAGGATTGGGACTTTCTGATCTTGGGCTGAGGTCATTGGTTACTACTGAACCTTTGCTCTGTGGAAGACCTGGGTTTGACCCTTCCCAGCTGGGAGTTAGCTATCATGCAGCCCCTGCACGGGCTCTGTCCTGCCCTTCTGAATATTCATTTACTGGATGCTATAAGTAATGGTTCAGAGAGAGAGGGGTGGGGTCTCTAGGATGCTTACTAGATGGAATGTTTTGAGGGTCTGTGAGTCAATAGATTTGTATGAGAGCCACAGAGAACAGCGCACTCTGAAGCAGAATGGGTATCCCTCCTGTGCCTTCCTTGTGGGAACCTAAGACTCTGTTTCCGACTGAGCATAAATCTAGGTTCTGGCAGGCTGGTTATTGCAGTGTGAATCCCTGTTTGCACAAAAGCATCTTATAGGTGAGCTTGCTGGGTGTCCGAACAAGACAATGGATTTCACTTTTAGTGGATTGGTAGGTAAAGATAACTGGAGAGGTTGTTGAAAAGTAAATAAATGACCATTTGGGGCCAGGAGAATGCTGGAAGAACTACATGCTGTTTGGAGAAACAAAGATTGTCCCAACTCAGGCAGAGTTGCTCCTCTCTTACCCTCAACAACAACATTTGTGACTGGAGTGTGATTTCAGGTGCATGGTAAGATCCTTCAACTTTATGTGTGTGTGTGTGTGTGTTTCTAGTGGCATTTAAAGAATCAATTGTTGATGTGTTTTCAAGTTGAGTTGTTTTCATAAATTTGCATATTTAAAGTCTCAATAAACTTTGACCAGGAAATATAGCAAAAACAATAAAGTAGATGTCGTAGTACCCTACTGAGGAGCGAAGAAAGGAAATTTAAGAGAGGGTAGATTTTTAGGCGTTTTGTGGAACTTAGAGAATACTTAGGATGAGCCCAAGTACACACCTGTGTCCTGCACAGAAATAGGCTGAACAGTAACACTCTGGCCCCTGCTGAATGGCACAGGACTCCTTCACTGGTCTGTGCATTCCGGACAGACATGCTTCAGTTCAGGCTCTCGCCCAGGAATCCAGGAAGGACGGCCGTGGCAGATTCAGTCAAATCACATGCCAGGCTACCGGGAAACCTGTGCTTCCAAAACAAATGTCCTGGAGCCCATGTCTAGAACGTGCACAGCCTCTTTTTTCAGCTCTGGGCCCTGGAGAGAAGCTCAAAAATCTCTTCCTGGCAAAGAATGTTGGGAAGCATTTGGGCAGAACTTGAGGTGTGGGTCAAGGTGTGGATACACAAGCATGGGGTAGGAGACCCCAGTTCTTGTCTCTGGGCCCGATATGCACGGAGCTCATTGGATGCAATCTCAGAGGAGAGATGCTCTGTAAATTATTTAAAATTTTTGTAGGGTCAGATGAAGTATCTCTAACTTCCAATTGTTAGGCTAACAACTTTTTTTTTTTCTGGCCTATTGTAGTAGTACATGCTTATAATCCCAGAATTTAGAAAGTAGAAGTAGAAGGGCCAGGAGTTTAAGGCCAGCCTCAGGTAGATAGTGAGTCTGAGGCCAGCTTGTGCTACATGTGATCATAAACAAATAACCAAATCTTTATCTACTGCCTGCCTATCTATCTATCTATCTATCTATCTATCTATCTATCTATCTATCTATCTAT